CCTTGAAATGGATCACACTTTCTTTGCATGGCTTTTGATTTTGTGGTTGTTGAAAACTGGACATTTGACTATAATAATGTTGTAACTGTGGAAATCAGATTCTTCTCTCTTCCCCAGAGTTTGCTGTTTTGTGCTTTTGTTTCTGTTTGTGATCGCTGTAGGCTGTCTCTGTGCCAGGGATCAGCCTGAGGTGTAAACTTGGGCTCTTCTAGGCCTTTTCTGAGCCTGCATGGTGACTTTCTAACTTCTTTCACATATGTGGTAGCTCTTGAATGTCCTAGTCTGTGACTATCTGGCACGCAAAAGGGGAAAAGAAGGAAATAAAGTTGGGGAAACAGGCTTTGGCCATTTAAATCCTCGGAAGCTGCGTCAGCAGGGGGTGGTTGCAGTAATGACTGCCAGGAGGGATGTCTGCACCCCTTCATCATCAAAAGCAGAAATCAGGAATCAGAGCAGACTCCCAATACTTGGAGGACAAGGTCGTCATGCCCATGCTGGCTCCTGCAAGCTGTGTGCACCCTGCTCCGGGAACCAGTGCCCAGCTGCCGCCACGGGGCTGGGGTGGAGGGCGAGCAGCACTGCCACGGTAAGAGCTAAAGTTGTGGAAATTAACCCGACTTACCATCCAAATATTCCCCTGAGCGCTGCGAGCCTTTGAGTAGACTTTAGGCTTCCTAAATAGTTTATCAGACAGACACCCCTGCAACTGCTTCCAACCCCACCATCTTCCCTGACGTCACTTCCACCTTTATTCTTAGGCTCTATGAATTTTATTTTACTTTATATAAATTGTCTGTTTATAGCCTTTACTATTTGGAGGAGGGGTGGTTAGGAAACATGACTATTTAAAAAGAATCATCATTACAAGTATACAATTCATGCAAAGGACACTGATACACATAATAAAACTGTTCAGACTTTAGTTTTCACACATAGATGAGTTAAAACAACAGGATGGTACCACTTATATCTTTTAAAGTAGACGGAACATAGAAAGAAATGATGTAACTACAAACTTTGGCAAAGCTATGTTGAGACCGGTGTACCCTAACTTTGCCAGTGGCAGGTGGAACCCTTTTAGAAAGGAATTACGCTCTACTAATGTTTACATCCTTTGTCTGGAAATTCTTAGACTTTAACTTCATAAAATATGAAAAGAACTAGCTGCAGGCACAATTACATTCATTGCTGCGCTGTTTATAATTATGAAAAATGGACACAACCCAAACGTCTGAACACCAGGCTTCAAGGTACGTCTCCTCAATTGAAAGTTGTGCAGTAATTTAAAGTGGGTATCATGTATCATTTGGGGAAAATCCTCATGACACAGTGTCAGGTGAAAGCGGCACGCTACGATTCAGCTACATGCTTCATAAAAGCCGCTTGGCAGGTGGCCAGCAACCTTTACAAGGAAAAACCAAACAGCGGCCCAGCTGACAGGGGAGGGAGGCTGTGGGTGAGTTCTATTGTTTCATGATGTTACTCAGGTAACTAAAGAAAGAAAAAAAAGATGGGGATGGTTTCGGGGGAGGAGTCAGGCAAGGGTTACACATTCACCATGAAACAAAATAACCGAGGAGGCAATGCAACTAGCCAGCTCTTCAAGCTGCTGGTGGCAGGCACTGGGCCCTGGCGGCCTGCTCTCTGGCTGGGCAAAGTTCTCAGCAAGACGAGGTGTGGTCCTGGGCACCCCACAGGACTTGGGGGCGGGGCGGCATGCTCCCCAAGAAGAAGTGGATTCGTCCATCCCCCTCACCTGCCTGTCCCTGGGTCCTGGGCACAGACCCCCAAGCAAGGACACTCGGTGCCAATGCAAATGCTACGGATCCGAATGGGTCCCTGGTCCTCCCGTGAAACTGAGTGACATGAGGGGCACATACGTGTCTCATTTCTGTCACCCGCGTGTGATGTGGAGGCTGTATCTTCTATCATAGCCTCACGATTCTTTTCAGGGACCCGTATTTCCACAGAAACGGGGAAGAAGGAAGCCGGTAGGCAGAACGCTGCCAAGGGCCTCCAGCGGGATTCACGCAAGGTGCTTCCTGCAAGCCCCACCAAGGGCTCTGAGAAACGCGCACCCGCATCCCATGTGCACATGGGGACTCCCAGGGCCAGGGAGGTGCAGCCGGCACTCAAGGCCACAGGGGTCTTTGAGTCAAGGGGTCACGGGGGGCTTGTGGCCGCAGGCTCCTCAGAACATCCTTTGAAACGGCCTGGCTGCTGTTCCAACGCCAAGAGAGGGGCAGCAGCAGTGTCCCAATGCCAGACGGAGCTGGGAGGGGCCCTGGGAGCCACCTAACTCCTCCCACCCAGAACCTGGCCAATCACCCAGGACTCAGGATGCTGATGGTGCAGCCCCCTGAGGGGAGGACCTGGGGTGGGGGTGGGGGGTGAAGGGACGCTTCTCAGGAGCTGAAAAGTCTCCTTGCCCGCAGCATTCATCCTAAATGAAATCATTAGCTTTTAATTCACTTACTCAGCCAAGCCCAGAGTTAATCTATAATATGAAGCTTGCTCCTTTTTTTTTCTTTCCTTTCTTTTCCATTTTTTCCCCTTTTCCTTTCCTTTTTTTTTTTTAAATAAGTTTTTTAAAGCCTCATGTACTTTTCCCATTTCAGGCTCAAGTGCCAGTGCAGCAGCTCGGACAGCTAATAACTTCACACTCTCCACTGTGCCCAGGCTGGCAGCGCCCAGGGCATCTGCCTCCTCTCACCCCACCCCTACTCTCTGCCCTTCTGCCCGCCTCATTCCTGCCCCAGGGCCTTTGCACATGCACTGCCTCCCACCTGACCAGCTCTCCCACAACCTTTGGGCTTCAGATGAAATGTCCCCTCAGGGAAGCACCTTACCGCCCACCACTCTCTGTCTCTACCTCTCGCTCTGCTCACAACACAAATCACAGATTGCAAATATTTTATACATCTGCCTGCACCTTGATTTTCTGCTGGTTTCCTCTCTGAAAACCCCACCAGAACAGGAAACTGAGGTCTCTGATTCACAGCTATAGCGTCAGTTTCTAGCTTGTATTTGAGCTCAATAAACACACATGGGAGGGAAGGCACGCGGCATTCTGGGCTCCACAACCATGCGCGTGGAGTGGAGATCTGCGAAGCGGGCCATCCGGTGGCCTCTGGAGGGGAGGCCACATGAGGCTGGTTTCAGACTCACCCAGGCCTGGGTTTGAGCCCTGCTTTGGTTTCTAACTAGCTGTGTGACCTCCGACAGCTTACTCAGCCTCTCTGAACGTCAATCGCCTCCCTTGTAAAATGGGAATCACATGTCAGCCGGGAGGGGCTGTGGAATTCAGCCCTGCGGCAGGGCTGGGAGCAGGGTCTGGGCAGCCCCTAGGTTCCCCAGTTTTGCCTGCCCAGGAAAGGGGAAGGAAAGCATTAACTGAGCACCTACTATGTGCCAGGAGCCATACTAGGCAGTTGGAATGCAGAGGTAAATAAAACAGAAACTGCCCCCACTTCTCTAAACTCTAGCTGAAGGCAGAAAACTGACACAGAGAGGTCCCCAGCCCCCTGGGTGTCAGGGAGAAGGGTGGGGTGCAGGCAGGAAAGAGACCCAGAGCAACCTGGAGGGCCCCTAGCAAGTGACTTTTCTCCCAATGCCTCACATGCGCGGGAGTTCTGAGGAAAGACGGAGCGGGCAGCGGGAAAAGCGAGGCAGAGGCCCCAGGACAGGACGAGGCTGTGCCCGCGTGAGGCTGGCGCCGAGGGTGGGAGAGCAGAGCAGTCTGAGCAGGCTCGCACACACTTGCTCTTGTCCAGCCTGAGCCGGGACCATGACACCTGTATCCAAGTCCCCTTGTCCCACGAGTCAGTGCAGACCCAGGGCGTGGCCACTGGGGCAGGCGGGGCAAGGAAGCCCCTCTTACCTTGGGCAGCGCATACTTCGGCAGCTTCATCAGGACAAATTCATTGCGACGATAAGAGACGTAGTACTTGGTCTGGTTGGCTGAGGTGGCCTGACAGGAGGCAAGAGACGTGTTTCTGAGGGGCTAGGTTTCCTGTCAGGCCAGAGCCTCATGAGTGAAAAACCATTCATTGTATCCAGCGGGTGAAAGGCTGTTTTACAATACTTTGCTTACACCTGCTCCGCCTGAAACAGACAGACTTCTGTTCAACCCTCAAAGCCCTATACCAAAGTCTCCTCCTCCAGGAAGTCTTCCCCCACCTCCTTCAGTTAGAACTAATCTCTCTCCTCCTGCTCCCTCAGCACCTTGTTTCCTGCGTGGAACAAGGTGGAAGGAACTCTCTAAGATTTGAGCCACCCAGGAGAGGGACACGCCGTTTTGGAAGGAGGGAGCTCCTCATTAGTGGAATAATTGAAGAGTGGTTTGACCAGTGAGCTATTCACTGCAGTTTCTGCATGGTCAGGCCACCTGGTTCCTGAGGGTGGTCCAGCTGTGACCTGAGCATCTGAGTACTGGGCTGACAGCTGGTGCCTGGTGGCCAGTGACAATGACCAGAGTCAGTCCCCATCAGCTCTGACGTCACCCAAACCAAATGGAGCAAAATGGGTGTGGGCTTGGGGGCCCCAAGCTGTGGGTTTTTTTGGGGGGGCAGAAGGCAGGAGGAGCAGGCAGCGTCCTGCGTCAACGTTCTGGCTCTGTGGGTTGCCTGCAGCCACAGCCATGGGCGTGGGGTGGGGGAAATGGCAAATTAAGTAGCACTTGAACGCCCAGGGGCCATCTCCCTGCCTCCCCTGAGTGATTCCGTTTTCCCCAGAACGGCTCTGACTCCACCCCATGTCACCTACTGCCAATTTCCGGGAGCCCCACGAGCTGCGGTACCTTAAAGAAGATGTAATCATCCTGCATGGTTAGAGAGCTGTGGTCGATGGGGCCTGCGAACGGAGCCGTCAGCGTCTGGTCGGAGCAGTTGTGGATCCGGCAGGTGATGTAGCGGAAGCCTGCAGGGGACGAGAGCCAGCGCTGGGCGCGCACAGTCTCCAGGGCTGAGAGCCCAGGGCCCAGAGGAGCCAGGCGGCCGAGGCCACGGGATGCTGGGCTGACCCACGGCAGCACTGCACGGGGGTTGTTGGTGGGCTGGAACTCTAAGGGGCCCTGTGGTCACACCTGCGGCTGCGTGGGGCGGCTCTGTGCCAGCCTGCGACTGCTGTGAGCGCTTTGATCCTCAGAAAGCTACTAGGGGTCCCAGGTGAGGAGGCTGAGGATGAAGCACCTTGTCTAAAGCACGGTCGTACCCCCGCCACCAGCTTTTCCTAAAAAGAGGCTGACGGAAGCCGACAGAGTGACAGTGCGGGATCCAGAGAAGAGCTGAGGTTGTGGAAATGGGGAGGGGACCCAGCAGCAGCTTCTGCCCACTGAGCACTCGCCCGTGAAAGCCGGGTCTGGACGCTGTGTGCACGGACCTATTTCACAGGTGCAGGGGCCGAGGTGCAGGGAGGTGGGGAAGCTTGCCTAGGCTCACGTGGCTGGCACACGGCGGGCTGGGAGCTCACGCCAGTGTTTCTAAGCCAGCCAGGACTTTTCATCTGCCCTCCACAAAGCTCGTCCTATCCGGGGAGCCCCTCCTTGCTCTTGTCAGCTCCCACTGCTAAGCGGGAACCGGCCAAAGTCTCCACTCCAAGAGAAACCGCGGGAGGAGGCTCACCGTCCAGGGCGTCTTGAGGGGGTGCGGTCAGAGCCGTGACAGGCACTGGGTGGTGCCCCCCCACTCTTTCCCTCCCTGCAGCACGGGGGTCCCGCGGCTTGTACAATGGCCGATTGTGTTTGCTGTCCCCCAACAGCTCTGAGTCTCCAGCAGGGCATGAAGCCCTTGCCCCATGGAGGAGGAAGCGAACAGACGCCCCCTCACCCTCAGCACTCAGCAAGCACCAGGGGTGGCGGCCAGGGAGTGGGATACACTCAATGCTCAGGGACCAGAACAAATCGCCTCTCAATAGACTTTTCCACTGGAGCGGAGCTCCCTGCCTACAAATTATCTCCAGCTAGAAAACAAGCACATTTAAAATTATGCCACATTGTAACACGGCGAGGTTGGCTGTGCAGAGTCAGCTGCCGAGGACGAGCCACCGAACATGGGCACGCTGCCCCTGGCTGCGGGGCGAGGACACTTGGGGACACTGGCTGCATCCCCTCCCGGCTTACCTCCTCCAAGGTCCTGGACTTCCATGTGGACCAGGTCAGTATCAGCGTCCACCCCAGACACGGCCCTGGAAAAGAACAGGGTCAGGCTGGAGTTGGGAACCGGGTCCCCAGCCCTAGTCTGGTGCCGGCACCAGTGTCCTGCGCCCCATGTAGCCACGTGGCCTCTGGACCTAAGGGGAGTGTTGCTCTGTGGGTCGGAGGGAGCCGGGCTTTCTGTCTGGCAGGCGTGGAGTGTGCTAGGCGTTCTTCCGTCCCCTCCATAGAAGGTGCTCTCCTTTACAAAAGACTTGCACGCGAGTTGTGTGTTTTTTCTTCTTCTTTTTTTTTAATGATCAAAATGATCTTAGGAGGCAGAAGCAGGCCTGGAAATATCTCCCTAATTTTCCAAGACAGGAAACTGAGGCTCAGAAGAGCAAAGCAACTGCCCCTAGGGTGCACAGCTGTAAGTGGCAGAGCCCCTCCGCACGCCGCAGTGTGCCCTGGGGAAGGTGCTGCTCTTGGCCCCTGGCCCCTCTGAGCTGACGCTGGTCAGGACTCAGGAACAGTGGGGACGGTGGCTGCTGATGGGGCCTTCAAGGAGGCCTGAGAAGAAGGGGACAGAAAGGACCTGCTGGAGTCGCAGCTCCATGGGCTATGTCCTCTGGGGAGCAGGGACGGGCCAACTGCTTTAGCTCTGAACCCCAGTGCCCGCCCAGCACCGGGCCTGGCACCCAGGAGGTGAAGCGAGGAGTTTTCAATGGAAAGGAACCTTGGCAATCGTCTGGCCCACGGTTGCCCAGTTTTTACTGTCATGTGTCAGCTGAACTGTCATTTTTTTCTATGACATCGACTCCCTTTAAAACCGCTCTGTACTCAGACTTCTCCTGAGCGCGGATGCCTGGGTCTGGCGAGCTGATTACATTTGTGGCGATAATGTTTGTGCCGATGTGACTATTATAAACCCACCGGGCAAGCCAGCCCCTTACCTGGAGGCTGACCTGTGCCACACACTGACTCTGACCAAGAGGAAGCTGCGGGCCAGGATGCGGGGCTCACTTCCCGAGGTCTCTCAGCACCCAGGACAGGCAAGTGGTCCTCCCTGCAGTGTGTCCCCAAGGCGTCCTGGCAGGAGGTGTCCCAGTGCTGGGTCCCCGTCACTGACAGCCCCTTGACCCAAATCGGCTCCTCTCTCAGTTCTCAGCCCGCCTCCCAGTGGGCCTGATACCAGGGTCCCCATTTGCTTCACCTCATCCAGGGAACAGGGGGCCCCACATGGCCCCAGGGGACAGCGGAAATCCCTGCGTGGGTCTGAGTGCCACGGGCCCCAGACTCTCGATGGCAGAGTGGTTGGGAGTCCCCGCAGTGCACGGATGTGTGAGCTGTGGGCTCCAGCATCAGTCACTCTGACCCTACGCAGAGGCTCAATTGCAAGGTGAAGTGTTGATTTAGGTTTTTGTGAATAGACCATTCAAGCTCCGTGGAAGGAGGTCTCCTGCCTGACATTTTTCTCTCTTTTCTGGACAAAGACAGGCATTGTTCCCTTTACCAGGGAACAATGTGCTCTCACGAGAACACAAGTGGGGAGCCCGTGCTGCTGTCTGCACAGCCCGTGCCCAGGGCATGCGTGGCCTGAGGGACGCCAGGACCCCGGGTCCACCCATCTCACCAATGGGTCCTCGGCTGGGCAGACAGAACTTTAGTCTGACAATCTGTCATCTGACTGGGGTAACAACATCAGCCTATTCACTCACTCATTCACCCACTCACTCATTCATTCACCCACTCACTCACTCATTCAACCCATTCACTCACTCATTCATTCACTCCCTCCCTCCCTCCATAATTCGTCCACTCACCACTCCCATTCCCTCACTCTCACTCCCCCATCAGGGCATCTCCCACAGCTATTTCCCGACATGCCCAGGCCTTGGACTGGGCAAGGGAGCACTGCAGGCCTGTGGCCGGCCTGGTACCCAACCAGAGACCCTGGCTCATGGGCTGGGAAGCCCAGAAGAAAGTCCGCATTTACAGCAGATAGAGCCTGGCTCCCTGCAGGAGCAACAAGTGCTGACCCCTGTACCTTCCTGTCCATCAAGTCCCCTGAAGATGGTATTGGGGACGGTCCCAGCCTGGCTCGAAACACTATTTAGAAATGGCAGTCACCTGAGACGACCCACGGGCAAGCAGCTCTCTGGGAAGAGCCAAGAGCTTTGGGAGCGTGAGCAACAGGGTTTAACTCTCCTGGGTGCTAGGAGCAGCTCCAGTAATCCCTGTCGCCATGGCCACGCCTGTCGTGCGGTGGCCGCCCTCCTGTGGCCCTCCCTGTCTCCTCCACGACAGAGGCCCTGCCACAGCCCCCACTGACCAGCGCTGCAGCGGGAGGACGAGGAAGGCTGAGCGCAGGCCGAGCGGAGAAGCAGGCACGGGAGCACCAGGGGAAGCGCCGGCGGCCAGACTGACCGCAGAGACAGCCACGGCCGGGGGCCGCTGCTTCTTGGCAGCGTGACCTAGAACAAGGGTCCTGGCCAATCTGAGCCTCAGTTTCTCCCTCTATAACATGAGGGTGACAGGGGCTTCTGTGTGGATTCTACAGATGAGGCATTGAAACCCTCGGGCTGGTTTGTGCCTGGCAGATGGTCAGTGTCACAGGGCGGTGGCTTCTGGGCAGTCAGATCCGAGGCCTCTGAGACACTAACGGGGAGGGCAGTGGACAAGGACTCACTGGGGGCCGGGAAGGCAGCAGGTCCCCACCCAGGGCTGCCCTCTTGAGGCCCAACAAGGGTACCTTAGGGCACCTAAGCTTGTTTAGTTCCTCACAAATAGTCCTGAGCCCCAGCGTTAGACAGAATATGGGGCTTGGGCAATTGCTGCTGCAAGTTCAAGGACAAAGAGCGTCTTGGAAATGCTATCAAAACAGCATTATTCACCACTTACAACAGGGGGGCCCCATCACCGCTGTCATCACATTCCAGGAGAGACTGGGGCCTAGAGGCCGCCTGGTGGTGATTATCTCCCCCCAGTAACAGCTCAGAGCAATTTGAGAAAATGGGGGAAGATATAATTTGATTTGCTTGAGTTAATAAGATGTTTGAATTAGTGCCAATTTACCTTTCAGTATCTGCGGGCGGGCGGGAGAGGTCTCCCGTGAGCCCAGAAGGGGACAGAGCTGGGACCGGCCCCAACAAGGCAGAGCTCACAGCTCGGCTGTCTCCCCAGGGCCCTCGGCTCAGAAGTCCCACGTCCTTGGCCCCCTCCCCACCTCCTGCGAGCTCTCGGGGCCAGCAGTTGCCATCGGTGACAAGGCTGGTGATTGATGGTGCACTCGGGCTTCTGGGGGAGGAGCGGCCCTCCCTTGGACGGACACGTGGAGAGGAGGTCATTGTCCCCACGGCCAAAGGCCTGCACACCAGGAGCCAGCACTCCAGAGCGCGAGACAACGGCTCCCTGAAGCCTGGAGGCCTTGAGTCACGAAGGTGGGGGGGGGGTGTTGTTGCACAAATGAGGGGTGTGTGCATGTGTGTATCTGTGTGTGTGTGAGTGTGTGTGTGTGTGTGTGTGTGTGTGTGTGTGTACATATAAGGAAGAGTGATTGAGTAGAAAGAACACCAGTGGAGCTGCACATCTCCAAAGGCAGTTAACAGGAGGATGATGACTTTCGGCCCTGTCCGTCCCCCACCCCACCTCGACCTCGACCTTGACCTTGACCTTGGCAAGTACTTGTCCTCCATGGGCCTCCCTCCCTCATCCAACAGCGTTTCCTGAGCACCAGCTTCCCGGCTGGCGCAGTGAGACCACCACACGGCTCTGAGAGCTCGTGGGGCAGCTCCCACGAGAACACAAGTGGGGAGCCCGTGCTGCTGTCTCCACCGCCCGTGCCCAGGGCATGCGTGGCCCGAGGGAGGCCAGGCCCCCACGTCCACACCAGGAAGAGCCCTCTGGAGACCCCCCTGGGGTGAGGGGGTACAGGGCAGGCACAGAGCAGCAGACGTGGGGAGCCCAGAGCTGGGGGACCCAAGGGGCTCATGTTCCCGTTTCTGGGTGCACTCTCTCACCAGAACACGTGGTCTTTGGTCACTCGCTCCTGCAGAAGCGTCCACTTCTTCCCCAGGTCAGATGACACATAGAGCTTTAGGGCAGAAAGAAGAGAAAGGGAAGTTTGGTTGGGGCGTGAGAAATGGGCCTCTCCCGAGAGGCGGTGACATCCCCTCCGCAATGAACGAATGCCGGTCTTGTCCAGCGCTGGCTGAGCACGTGCGGGTGGCCGGCCCTGCGCTCACACGGGGGCCCAGACCAAGCCCCACGAGGCTGAAGGTCAGGTGTGGGGGCCCCACAAAGAGCTATTCCCGCCCCCAGGCGAGCGGGCAGGAGCCAGGAGAAGAGGCTGGGCAGGGAGAAGCCCAGCGAGCCTCCCAGTCTGATTTCCGCTCTTCTGAGAACACAGCCTGCCTTCCCACCTGTCTGTCACCAAGCCTCGCCCGGGGCCCCGCTGCTGGGGACGCTGAGTGAGTGAGCAAATGTGACTCTAGGGTAGGGGCTGCCACACTTTTCTGTAAAGCACCAGGTAGTAAATACTTTCAGTTTTTCGGGCTATGTGATCTCGGTGACAGCCACTTATCTCCGCCTTTGGCGCCGGAAAGCAGCCAGAGACAGTACGTAACAGTTGGGCGTGGCTGCGTGCCAATAAAACTTTATTCACAACAGCAGGTGGCAGGCCAGTGTGTCTGCTGACACCTGCTCTAGGCTACATGATCAGAAATCATCACCTTTCATATTGAAAAAGGGCTTCTTGGAAAGTTTTCATCCCTTAGAACGTAAGCTCCAGGGAGGGCCTGGAACGCATCTGTCTTATTAAGCAGGTGCATTCGTGCCTGGTATGTATGTAGAAGATGCTCAATAAATATCTGTGAATCGAGCAACTTGTTCTATTGAATTTCCATTAGGGCCCCAGTGGGAGAGCCTGGTAGCAGCTGTGCCCTTTCATGGAGCCGGGCACTGAGCTAAGAGCTTACTAAAAGCTACTTTATTTATCACACACCCATAAGATAGGCAATTTCTCCCCTTTACGGATGAAAGAACTGAAGCTCAGAGAGGTTAAGTAAGTTGCTCAAGGTTACACAGTGTTCGCTTATAGCAGCAAGTCCCGTCTTGTATGCCTGAGTGTAATGTGCTGATGGCTGAGGGAGGATGACTGGTCCCCTCTAGTCCTTTCTCTGGGTCACCTGAGTGACCAGGCCAGGGCCAGTTCCACCTCATATCTCAATTCACCCATCTGCAAACCAGGAGAGCACTGCCCATATCCTCAGGCACTAAGTGAATAAAAAATGAGTCTGTAGCCATCAGCTTCCAGGAGCCAGGTAATAAAGCCTTCGCATTAATGGCGGCATTATCACGGCCATCACCGCGAGGCACTTGCATTTATGACGCCTGCCCCGGAACTTTATGAAGCCTCCTCAATTTGTTCTCACGGGAGGTGATTTTATAACACACCATCTATTGCTGCAGAAATACGACGTTTCTGCGTAATAAAAGACAAACACTGGCAAATAAATAAGAATCAACACACCAGGGACATCCCAGTTACCGCAGCTGAAACCTGCACAGTGATGTCCTGTGGAAGGGTTGGTTGAATGTCGATTGCTCATCGAAGAAAGGAGTGGAGGCTCTGGACCAGGACACACAGACCACTCTGACAGAAACGATCAGGAGTCAGAGCAGGGAGGGATCGAGGTAAAGGACGAGGGCGAGGTCAGGGGAATGTGAAGTCGCAGGAGCGCGTGCCGGGGGTTCTCACGGTTATTAGAGGCACTGCGATTCAGCCCTGGCTTTCAGCGCGTGTTGGGTGTGGTGGTTGGGATGCAGCAGCCCTCCCTTTCTCCCTCCCTCCCTCACTGTAGGGCGCCTTGTCGTGCTGCAGAGGCTGCAAAGCTGAGATCCAGCCTTGCTCAGACTCCCTTGCAGCTAGAGCTCTGGGTCAGAAGGATGCACTCGTGCGAGGTCTGGAGGGTGGAAGGGACATGGAGACATGTTCCTGCCGCCTCTGGCCATTTTTGCTGGCCAGCAAGGGGGACATGCTCTGGCATCCATCCTCTAGCTCAGGAGGGTGGAGGGACAGTGGTGGTGGAGGCAGCAGCTAGACTCTGCACTCTAGTGTGCAACACCTACTGTGCAGATGTTGCCGGGCCATGCGGCAATGTAGCAGTGGCCAGTTCAGATGCCCGGGTCTCAGCATCAGCTGTGTGCCCTTGACCTTGGTAAGTGAGTAGGGCTCCTGGTCCCCCACCTTCCTGACAGGCAGAGGAAGAGGGTCCCCAGGTGGGAGAGCCCCACAGGCTTCCGGGAGGGTCCTCGGGAGTCCGGTCTGAAACCCCCTCCTCCAGCACCCCCAACACTTTAGAGAGCACCCAGACCCCACGGGGAGGGACTGCCCGACTCTCACTTCCTTTTGATCCCAGGAGTCTAATGGGGTTTGCTGAGCCTTGAAAGAAAAACCACTGCATTTAGGCTGTCACTGTCCAGGCTCTAAATAAGGTCACTTCAGAGCACCCCAAATGAGAATGACACAGTAAAGGAGGGAACTAAAAGTTGGGGACATGGAATTCTGAGGGTGGGTGCTAGTCTGTGTGCTGGAGCAAGGGGCAGGCATCTGGGAGGAAAACAGGGCACTTGGTTTCGTATCAACCTGCAAGTCCTGTGAGTGGAATATTCGTGCCCACCCCTGCGGACTCTGGGTTTGTCATGTGACTTGCTCTGGCCAGTGGTGTGAGGGGATGTGATGTACTCCCGGTGAAGGCAGGCCTACTAAAGCCACTTGTGCGGTGTCCTCCGCCCCCCAGAGCCTCTGTCCTCCACCGAAAGAGTAGCAGGTCCCCAGGTAACCACTGGTTGCAGAATGAGAGACATATGGAGACCAGTCGCCAGGAGCCCTGCCTAGCTTGTCAGTCCCAGGAGAACCTGGCAGAACCCCAGCCAACCCCCAGACCCAGCAGGAACAGAATCAAGGCTTGCTGCTGTGAGCACTGAGGGTGGGGCTGTGCGTCCCTCAGCGTCATGGCACCGGAGACCTGCCTGGGTACCAGGTCTGCCAGAACCCAAGGCAGCGTTGTTCCAAAGCCATCCTGCCTCTTGGGGGTTAGGGAGCCCTGAAAACCATCAGCCCCGAAAAAACTACAGCCCCACTGCCATTGTTATTAATTTCCTCAAATTCCTCATTCCTTTTACAACCACAACTAAGCCTTTTTTCTCTCCTTTTTCTTTCCTACAGTCACAGAAAAGAACCAAGGAAAAGAACCGAGATTTCAGCTCCATTAATTTTTCAGGGCACCATAAATTAAGGAGCAATTGCAATGCAGTCAATTTCTGCAGGAAAATAAGTCTCTGTGATTGTGCTTTGGTCTAATTACATGGAAGGCTAAGTAGCGCTATTAATACCCAGAGGCACACACTGTCCCAGCAGAAGCTGCCGGGAGCAGAGAGGCAGCCTGTGAGGCTGGGAAATTCGGGGACGCCAGTCAGCGAGGACCAGGTCTTGGCAAGGAGCCCAGGTGCTGAAGAGGGACACCCAGGGGACTCCATTTGGAAGTCCCTGACCTGGGTGATCACTACTGATAGAAATTCATCATTCATCATTCATTTATTCATTCATTCATCCAACTGCCATCCATTTACACCATCCATTCATCCAACCAACCCCCACCCATGCATCCATCCACCATCCATCCATCCATCCATCCATCCATCCATCCATCCATCTACCATCCACCATCCACCATCCATCTATCCATCAATCACCATCCATCCATCCATCCACCTACTATCCATCCATCTATCCATCCATTCACCATCCATCTATCCATCCGTCTACCATCCATCCATCCATCCAGCCAGGCATCCATCTATCCATCCATCTATCCATCCATCCATCCATCCATCCATCCATCCATCCATCCATCTATCCATTCACCATCCATTTATCCATCCACCATCCATCCACCATCCATCCATCCATCCATCCATCCATCCATCCATCCATCCATTCACCATCCATCTATCCATCCACCTATCCATCCATCCAACAAATATTTCTAGCCAGGAACTTGAGATAAAATGGTGAAAAAACCAGGCATGGCCTCTGCCCTCAAGGAGCTAACCCCAAGTGTGTTTTGGGTGCAGGCAGTAAGCAAATAATAGCACAACTATATAATTACACATTGCAGTCAGTCCTGGGAAAGAGGGGTGCTGCGATCTGGGAGTGTGGTGCAGTGGGGCCCCGGCATGCCTGGGGGTGCAGAGGAAGGCTCCTGAATGGACAGCGTCCATCTGCGTCCAGGTCCACGTCCTGCCCTTTTCCAGCCTTCCCTGCCCTGGACGGCATCCGAGGCTCCTCCACTCTGGCTACTGGCTGGATTTGGCCCATGGGAGGCACCGGGAGAAGACTGGAGGGCAGGGGAGAGAGAGGCTGGGTGGGGTTGGTCCTGTTTGGGAGGGGCTGATTCCTCTGTCCAGGGCCAGGCCTCCTCCTGGGTCCTTTCCTGTGACTATGACTAGACTATGTCCACTGCAGGGGCCACGCCTCCCCCTGGGCTTGACGGCAGGCTGAAAACGGCCCTCAAAGACGGCCATGTTCTAGTCCCTGGAACCTGTGAGTGGGGCCTGACAGGGGACAAAGGACTTCGCAGGTGTGGTTCAGTGAAGATCTTTAGATGGGAAGGTTGTCCCATCTAAAGGGCAGAGGGACATTCACACGTGCGCGCGCACACACACATACACACACACACCAATGTGAACATGGAGCAGAGAGAGAGGTGACGGTGCTGCCTTGAAGATCGCAGTGACTCATTCGTAAGCCCCAGAACGCCAGAAGCAGAAAGAGTCCCGGAGGCCTCCCCAGCCTCCAGAGGGAGCACGGCCCTGCGACTTGACTTTGGCCCAGCGAAGCTGCTGTTGGACTTCCGGTCTTCAGAACCGTTACCGAATACATTTCTGCAGGTGTAAGCTATTAATTAAGTCTGTGGCCCTCTGGTGCAGTGGCTGCAGGAATTGCTGCCACTTCTCCTTCCTACCCCCACGGCACTCTGCCTCCTCAGCCCTCAGGCCCGGGGGTGGCGCAGGTCTCTGACCCCATGCCGGCCCCGGACAGAGCTCTCCATCACTCGGGTCTCCCGGGTCGCCCGTGAAGGTGCCCTTGGGCTCGTGTGGGGGCCGGTAGACACAGCCCCACAGGAGGGGACGCCAATTTGGGACCTGAAGGCCGAGTCACTGTTCTTGGTGGAAGACGGTTCCAGGCTGAGGGAAAGGCCCACAAGCTGGCGTGGGAGGGCTTGTGGAATATTCTAGAAGTGGGAGAGGCCTTTGTGGCTGGCAAGCAGAGAGGCGGCGGAGTGGAACAATCCTGATATTTGTCTACTAGGTATAGATCCCGCCTCACATGCCCGTTAGGGCCCCTCCCACCTCCATCTGCTCAGTTGTCACAGCGGGTGCTCCCGACAGCTGGCACCCAGGCCCCATGGGCCTCAGGCAGAAGGCGATGGTGGGGTCCGGCACCCCCAGCCCCAGGCTCCTGCCAGCCAGCCCAGGGCTTCCGGGTCCCCATGATGGAAAGCATCACCCGATGCCCGGCGGCCGCCCCGTGCCCGCTCACCTTGCCCTCCTTGCTGTAAGCCAGTAGCTTGTCCTCCTCCCTGGGGTGGAAGATCAGCGTCTCCACAGAGAAGGGGATGAGCTGCTTCTGGAAGGTGGTGCCCTCGTCCGTGCTGAGGAACAGGCTGTCGTCCCGGTCGCCGATGGACGAGCTCACGAGGATGATCTGAAACACAAAGCCGGGGACATGAGGAGCGCGCACTGGGACTCCGGACAGCTGAGGTCAAGTTCCAGGTCTGCACGACCTCAGGCACGCTGACTGCCCGTCAGTGCCTCAGTTTCCTTGTCTGCAACGTGGGGGAAAGAGCAGGGCGCCTGGCACTGAGCGAGCCTGCAGTGAAAGCCAGGAGTGTGACCCGGCTGGCCTCATTAGAACTTAGGAGGCGATTCTCATTAGGCTGTGATTACCTCAGCTTGGCAGATGGGGAAACTGAGGCACAGAGTGGGGTAAGCAAACTGCGAGATCACACACCAGGCAGGATGGAGCCAAGGTCTGGTCTGAGCAGGACCCCCCAGCCCGCTCTCGGTCACCCCCTCCAGGCTGTGTCCATGCAGGGCAGGGCGTTCCGGATGGACCGGCTGCTGCTGCTGGCGGGCGGGGCGGGGGGGGGGATGCTGAGCACTGAGCATGGCTTTCCCCTGGGGGAGGGCATGGGGCAGCGAGATGCCTTCTGCGTGGATACCCCACTGTGATGGCAATTCAGCCCGCCAAGCATAAATCGATAAGCTGCAGAGAGTTCGTGCCTTTCCGTGAGCGAATGGTAACCCGCTACCTTCTTTCTTTCCAGGAAAACCTTAACGAGCCCCCAGGTGCGTTAATTAGTCTCCTTGAGCATAAAACCCTTCTTTCCCCAGCAAATCACGGATCGGAAGGACATGGATGTAGCATTCACGGAGCCTGGGTCCTGGGTGGCTTTGCCCCTGAAGGGTGGGCAAGGATATGCCTGCAGATGTTCCTTGAGGTGTGGTTTATACATAGGAGAATTGGGGGGAGGGGCTGAGGAATGGTTAGGGGCACCCGGGGTCATGTGATAATGTTGGCAGAGAATTAACAACAGGGGAGCATATATGCTCATGGAAAAATCAGGGTACAAAATTATAAGCAAGTGTAATTTCTGTACATTTCACACTGACACAGTTATAAGGAAGGATATCATAACTTTGTCAATGGTTAAGTGTATAAAAGTAAGTATAATTTGTCAGTGGAAAATGCACAGAAAAAAGAATGAAAGAATTATTATGCAGCCATAAAAAAAAGAATAAAATCTGGCCATGTGTAACAACATGGATGGTCCTGGAGGTCATTATGTTAAGTGAGTAAGTCAGACACAGAAAGACAAATACCATACGATCTCACTTATATGTGGAACACTAAAGGAAGGAAGGAAGGAAGGAAGGAAGGAAGGAAGGAAGGAAGAAAGGAAGAAAGAATGGTGAACGAATGAGCCAAACTCATAGATACATTGAACAGATTGGTGGTTGCCAAGCTGGGGGTGAGGGTGGGTGAAATGGGTGAAGAGGGTCAAAAGGCACAAACTTCCAGTTATAAAATACAGAAGTCCTGGGATGTAATAAGTGGCATGGTGACTCTCGTTAACAATTCTGTATTGTATATTTGAAAGTTGCTAAGAGAGCAGATCTTAAAACATCTCATCACAAGAAAAAAACAATTTGTAACTGTGAGGTGACAGCTATTAATTAGACTTACTGTGGTTTTCATTTTGCAACTTATATGCACATCGAATCGTTTATGCTGTACACCTGAAACTAACACAATCTTGTATGCCAACCTCAATTTTTAAAAAAAGAATGGAGGGAAACAGGGGGCGTTAATGGTGGCTGGTTTTCAGTGGTGGGGTTAGAAGGAATTTATTCTTTTTATTTTAAATAAGCTTTTATTTTGGAGTTGTTTTCAATTTACAGGAACGTTGCAAAGAGAGTTCGCACCCACTAGGCTCCCGGTTTCCTGTCATCAGCATCTTCCGCTGGTAGGATACACTTGTCACAACTAGAGCACATCGGTGTTATCGGAACTCCACTCTGTTCCCATCTCACCAGGTTTCCCACTAATGTCGTCTTCTGTCCCAGGATCCCATCCAGGACACCACGTTTAGGTGTCACGTCTCTTGGGTCCCTCTGGGCTGTGACAGTTTCTCACCCGCCTTGTTTTCCAGGACCTGGACAGGTTTGAGGAGTCCTGACCAGGCCTTGTGAGGAAGGTCCCCCAGTTTCCGTCTGCCTGATGTTTTTTCTCCTGGAGGTACCAGGGTTACGGGTTTCATGGCAGCATATCGAGGGCACACACACTGTCCATGTGACCTGCCACTGGCCATGTGACCCTTGCTGGCAGGGTCACGCTGCTCGGGGTTCCCTACTGGTCAGGGCCTCCCTTCCCCTCCCACGCTGTCCCTGTGAAGGAAGTCGCTGAGCACAGCCCAGCCCCGAGGAACGGGGGGTCGGCTCCCCTCTTTTTTTCTTCTCCCCATTTCTTCATTTAGTCTATCATGTATTTATATCACCATGAACTCGGGAATATGTATTTTATACTTGGAGTTGTAAGTCAGTACTGTGTTGTTATTTTGTTGCCCACATCGCTCTAGCTCTGGCTGTTGGGAGGTCTCTGGGGCTCTGGGGTCTCCCTTGACATAACCCCGTCGTCCTGTTCTGCCGCTTCTAAATGTCCAACAACTGTCCCTGGCTTTCCTTGATAATCAGGAAAACGTGACAGGGCCACCAAGGCTCGGACACACCTCCCTGGCTACAGCAGGGTTCACTCAGCACCCATGCCATGCTCCAGGGCCAGGCTCTGCACCCCACCCTGGGGAGCAACCCGCACACTGCCAGGGCCATTCGGCCAGGGAAGCCCACATTTCCCTCATGAAAGCACTTTCCTCAGGATGCATTTTTCAGGGTGTTCTCACGAGGCAGTTGCTATTTACTTCTCTACCTCCCCCATCAGACTGCCCCTGAGCGCATTGAGAGCGATCTAACTCCTCCTTGGTGCTGTTAGCATCTGGCACAGGCCTGACAGGGGGTTGTGAGTTAATCCATGCCTGATGGCTACGTGAATGAATGCATGCGTGCATGAATGAATGAACGAACAGCTCCATCTCAGCTTGTGACTCCTAAGGGAACTGTTTGCTTTTCTCCTTTGGGAGAAAAACACTGCCAGGGTTATTTAAACAGCCTAGAGAGTAGAAGTCATTAAAAATAAAAACTCATTCACTTATTCCTCTTCACTGCTCAAAGTATCACACATCAATGAAGGCTCATTCATTCATTCATTCTTCTAGAGTTGCTAAAACAACAGTCAAGCAAGGATTTCGGTACACACAGGGCTTTGTGGGGAAAAATAGCGTTCAGGTGCAGCATAGGCCTGAGGGCACGGAGGGCTTCCTGGAGGAAGTGACATCCACGGAACCTTGAAGAATGGATGGAAATTTGATTGGCAGATTCAAGGGAGGGTGTTTCAGGCAGAGAGGACAGCGTGACCAAGGCACACGGGCGGGGGTCCCTGCCCTGCCTCTCGCTTCAGCCTCACCTGTCCCATCCCTCATGACCCATCATCAGCCACCTCACACTCCTGCTGCATTTCTCTCGTTTGCCGAGACCGTGCCCATGTGGCAGAATTTACATGCACGGTTCCCTCTGGCTGGAATGCACAAGGGGACCATGATACCTCCCACCTCACCACTGGCAATTCAGAATCAGATTTTAAAACTTCAAAATGACACGAAATCCATGTGTGACGAGATTAAAATAGCTTCTTTCCAACTTTCTGAGTCCCCAATTCTGGGCAAATTCAACAAAGCTGCGTGTTTCTCATTTATTTTTGGCACCCCTGCTTTGCAGGGGCCCCCAGCTAAGTTTAGCCAGTCTGTGCGGTGGGACACCCTCCCCCTCGGTATCTGCTGGTCAAACACCTCCTCATCCCCAGAGGCTCCTGCCCAAGTCACTTCCTCCAGGAAGCCCTCTGTGATACACACCCTCCCACAGAGTTATTCTAATTCCTCCCCAGCTCTTCCCCCCCCAGCAGCTTGTGCATTCATTTGGTCCAGCCCAACATTCCCTAATGTTCTCTTTGTGAGTCTGTCTTTCCCTCCAGGCCAGGAGGCTTTGCAGCATGGCAGGGTTCATGTACTCGTCACGGCCATGTCTCCAGCCAGAGCACAGGGCCTTGCGTGGAGCAGGCACCATTTCCCAATAAACAGGTCTTGGAGCTCTTCCCACACAGAGTACGGGCTCTGGGTACAGGGGTGCCTCTCCATCACAGCCTTCAGTTCGGGACAAAGCCCCACCGATTATGGCACCGAGGTGGGAGGAGAAAGAACCTGAGGAAGTGGCTGTGGCCAGGGGCCCAGCGATCTGGATGGGGGGCTGTTTTTGGCCTCAGAGTTAGAGGTATGAGCCAGGAGAGACGGGGAAGAAAGAAGTGCTGACAAAGAAAGGAATACTGGAGCAAAAAAAACCAAATCAATTAGCACTGCACTGAGTGGGGCTGGCAGATTGTTCTTCCAAATTGGGAACCAGACTATTTTAAATGGTGTATTTTTGCTGCTTACTATTCCGGGGAAACACGTGGTGCCTGCGCTATGTGCTGGGGCCCACGAGGCCGGGTGTTTAGAAAGCAGAGACAACACGACAAAGGGAAATCGTTGACAGATTCATCCGAGGCATATGTCCCGGGATGGGCTACCTCGTGTGTGGGGCCCAGCACAAAATGCAGATGTAGAGTTCTCTGTGCGTACGACGACACTGAAGAATTTCAAGATGGCAGCAGTAGAGCACCGAGCCACGCCCAGGATCCCTCTGCACTGGCCCGGGGCGCACTCCGTGGAGCCCCCATCATCCCAAAGCTCTTCCACCAGTGAGCTCTGGGACCAGCATCACTGAGCCTGTCGGAGACGCAGCGTCTTGGCCCCACCCGGCCCCACTGGGTCAGAGCCTGCATTTTCTGAGGGCCCTGCGGGTGAGCCCTGAGCGCCCTCCAGTGGGACGGCTGCCATGGGCTGTGGCTCCTGCTGGTTTCACCTCCGTGCCCACTAGCTGAGCAACTGCTGAGGCGCGGAGCACGCTGGCCGACGCTGGCCCCTGTCCCTCTCTTTCCCCCAGTGACAAAATGAAATACCCAGTGCCCGGGAGAGCACGTCCTGCACCAGGCCTTTG